GAGTTGGACAACACTGTCCGGGCCTTCTATGAGGGCAAGGGCGATTTGGTGAGTTATCATCCGCCACTCCTCGAACTCGAGAGACCCCAGATTCACTAATCTGCGCCAATTCTACTACGCACAGCAAAAACAAGCCGAGCAGACCTTGACTGATGTAAGTGAACAACTTCCACGGGCATATCTCAGGAGCGTTTTGCTGATTCGTGCTTGATTCTCAGTTTAAACAAAATGAAGACGCCTGGATGCTCGCAGCGAATATCCTCCAAGAATCCTCATATCCACAAACTAAATGTACGATACTAAATAATGTGTACCTCGAAACTTGTGGGATACTGACTCTGCTTAGATCTTGCTCTTCAAGTCCTCGATGATGTGATCATGACACGATGGAAGGTTCTGCCCAGAGAGCAGTGCCTAGGTAAAGACCGTGCCATGAAGATGCATAGGGAACTATCTGACTTTTACCAGGCATCCGAAATTTTATCGTCCAGTTCATCCTTGATAACTCCGAAACAGAGGAAAAGCTGAGAAGCCAACGCGTCTTCTTGAACAAGCTTAACCTGGTGCTAGTTTCGATCTTGAAGCAAGAATGGCCGCACAACTGGCCAACATTCATAAACGATATCATTTCATCGTGCCACTCGAGCCTATCAGTTTGCGAAAACAACATGACCATCCTCCGCTTGTTGTCTGAGGAGGTTTTCGATTTTTCTCAGGACCAAATGACTTCTGTGAAAGCGAGGAACCTGAAGACCTCTATGACCCACGAATTCTCCTCCATCTTCCAGTTGTGTTCCCAAGTGTTGGATAACGCGAACCAGACGACTTTGATTAAAGCTACACTGGAGACCCTCCTTCGGTTTTTGAACTGGATTCCGCTCGGATACATTTTCGAAACGTCCATAATTAATACCCTCTTGACCCGCTTTCTGGGCAATGCAGAGTACCGCAATGTAACTCTTAAATGTCTTACAGAGATCGGTGGGCTGCAGATCGGCAACCCTTATAATTACGATGATCAGTTGGTCCGTATGTTCACTGAGACCTTAACGATTGTCTCCACAATCATACCTCTCTCGATGGATTTGAAGTCAACATATTCCAAGAGCAATTCGCGAGATCAGGAGTTCGTTCTCAATCTGGCTCTTTTCCTCTGCAGCTTCTTTAGTGCTCATCTCAATGTAAGTTCCCACTACATCCGTCGGTTTCTTCCCCAGGCACTGATATTCTTGCCATGTTAAGCTTGTTGAGACCCTTCCAAATCGTGACTACCTCACCCACGCTCATTTCTACCTGATCCGTATCAGTCAAATCGATGACAGAGAGGTGTTCAAAATCTGCTTGGAATATTGGACAAAATTGGTGCAAGAGCTTTATGAGGAGATGCAACAGCTTCCAATCACCGACATTAATCCACTGGTGAGCATGGGTGTAAGCGGGCTGTCAAACGGAGGCGCGCCGCATCCCAGCACCTTAGCCAATTACACCCTTCGCAAACACAAATACGAGGAGGTTCTTTCTAGCCTACGTACCGTCATGATTGAGAAGATCGTTCGGCCCGAAGAAGTTCTCATTGTCGAGAACGACGAGGGCGAGATCGTTCGCGAATTTGTCAAGGAGAGCGATACTATCCAGCTCTACAAGACAATTCGCGAATGCCTGGTTTATCTCACTCATCTGGACGTTGTCGACACAGAAAACATCATGATCGAGAAGCTGGCTAAGCAGGTTGACGGGTCCGAGTGGTCTTGGAACAATTGTAATACTCTCTGCTGGGCAATTGGGTCAATCTCCGGGGCGATGAACGAAGAGACGGAGAAGAGATTCTTGGTCAATGTCATCAAGGATTTACTTGGCCTGACCGAGATGAAGCGCGGAAAGGACAACAAAGCCGTCGTCGCTAGTAACATCATGTATATTGTGGGACAGTACCCCAGATTCCTGAAGGCGCACTGGAAGTTTTTGAAGACGGTGGTTAACAAGCTGTTCGAATTCATGCATGAAACACACGAAGGCAAGTTTGTCTACTCCCAGCATGGAGCGTTCCTTCTAACAGCGTGCAGGTGTTCAGGATATGGCTTGCGACACTTTCATCAAGATTGCCAACAAATGTCGACGACACTTCGTTGCGCTCCAGCCAGGCGAGAACGAACCTTTTATCGAGGAGATAGTCCGCAATATGAGAAAAATTACCTGCGACCTCTCACCACAGCAGGTTCATACTTTCTACGAGGCTTGCGGTTATATGATCTCCGCCCAGGGCCAGAAAAGCTTACAGGACCGATTGATTGAGAATCTCATGTCGTTGCCCAATATTGCTTGGGATTCCATCATTGGACAAGCCACTCAAAATCCTAAAATCTTGGAGGATGGTGACACAATCAAGATCGTTGGCAATATCATGAAAACAAATGTGGCTGCGTGCTCTTCGATCGGAACATACTTCTATTCCCAACTCGGACGGATTTATCATGATATGTTAAACATGTACCGGGCGTCCAGTCAACTCATCAACAATGCCGTTGCGCAAGATGGTAATAACCCACACCATTTATCTATTCTTTCATCTTTTCCGTCTTTATTGCCCACTGGCAATTTTGCCCTGTTTATCTTTGTGGTGAATCCCTCTGACGTACTTTTTAGGTGAAATTGCCACCAAGACGCCCAAAGTCAGAGGGCTCAGAACAATCAAGAAAGAGATCTTGAAGCTCATAGACACTTACGTGCAAAAAGCCGATGACTTAGAGATGGTGAACGCTAGCATGGTACCACCATTGCTTGAGGCTGTTCTTGTGGATTACAATCATAATGTTCCAGATGCTCGTGAGGCTGAAGTTCTGAGTGTCATGACCACAATCATTCACAAGCTACACGTATGTCCTCAATTGTTCACTACTACAGATGCTTGTGTATACTAGGAGCTAACAATACCGACAGAACCTCATGGAGGATAAGGTTCCTATGATTATGGAGAGTGTCTTCGAATGCACTTTGGAAATGATCAACAAGGATTACCATGAATACCCAGACCATCGTGTGCAGTTCTTCAAACTGCTACAAGCAATCAATTTATATTGCTTTCCAGCCCTACTCAAGCTGCAGCCTGCGCAGTTCAAGATTGTGATCGATTCCTGCATGTGGGCAAGTAAGCATGTCAATCGCGAAGTCGAAAACACCGGCCTTACAATGTGCCTTGAACTCATAAACAACATGGCGGAAACGGATGTTCAGACGTCGAATGCATTCTTCCAACGGTTCTTCATTCAGATCCTTGGGGATGTGTTCTTTGTACTCAGTGATAGTAACCACAAGGCCGGTACGCATACTTCATTACGCCCATCTCGAAACCATACTCATCCTCTCTGCCTTAGGTTTCAAGTCTCAAGCTATGCTCTTGTCGCGTATGTTCTACTTCATAGAGTCCGGCAAAGTGCAGCAGCCTATCTACTCTCCTGGCCAAATGCCCATGGGAACAACCAACAAAGATTTCTTGCAGAGGTATTTGGCGGAAACTCTACACAGTGCATTCAAAAACCTTCAAGAGTATGTACTCCTCGATTGCCTTTGTCTCCGAATCTTTGTACTGACTACTGGGTCAGAATCCCGGCCAAACAATTCGTCGCTGGATTATTTACCTACAACGATGATTTCAACAAGTTCAAGACACATCTGCGGGACTTCTTGATTTCTCTGAAAGAAAATCCAGGTGACAACGCCGAACTATATGCAGATGAAAGGGAACAGGAAGCACGAGACGCCAAGGCCGCCGAACGGGACCGTGCATTGAAAGTTGGAGGGCTGTTGAAGCCGTCTGAAATGGACCAGGACGAAGAGATTTGACTAGAGAGAGAACTGCGCGCCGAGGTCTCTCTGTTCTTGGAGGCTGAAAAAGACTCCGAAGCATGCAGTGACATGTTTGATGGCTGGTCGTATTATGGTTTCTGATTTCGACCAGAGCCCAAGGCTTATCGTACCCAATCAAGACTAATTCGCTTGTGGGCAAAGTCATCTTACCACGAATTTCTACTTCCTCTTCTTCATGCTCTACGGCGAATGAATTCTGATCCATCTCATCTCGAGGCTCCCCTGATGTGATTGACGTCAGCAATTTATTGATTCTTGTACACATTTGTTCCGTTCAAGCGGGAGCCCAGACGAATATCATTTCTTGTTAGTGGCTTGAAAGAGGAAAGTTTTTTTAAAAAGTGTATATCCATTCCTATAGAGGTGGCTTGTCTTCATTGATATTATCGAGATAGTACTATGATGTGTCTAGAGAGAGACTGCGACAAGAGTTGAAAGTTTTGTCGTCTCCCCCAACGGCCTGGCCTGAGGCTTGTATGGCAAAGGAGGATGCATCCGAGCTATATCTAGTATATTAGTATTAGTTGCAATCGATTCGACATGGGTAAGTGAGGCATGACTGGACATCGGATCAAAGAAGCAGGCAGCGCAAGCTAATTGGCAGCCCGTGTATCATAGTACGTAAAATTACCTACTTTTGTGAATTCTTTAATATATTTTTTAGTTGATTTGAGACATTGGAGGTTTATTTCCATATGTATTAATATGAGATTACTACTCCATATATAGGATAACTCCAAATGGCACATCAGTAGTACATTCTTTATATGCAATAGTACGTTGACTATCACATCAGAAATAGGATATAATCTATGTATTTTACCTTGCTCCAAAGTGACTCTGACATCGGACTGCTTCTAGAGCCCTCAAGGAGTATTATTCAACTAGAGGAAAAGAACGCAATTGAAATGCTTTGAACAATAGGTTCAAGGTTGTCAAGGTACTAAATACAATTTGATATACAAGACAAGTCTGTCCAATCCATCGCGTTGCCTGTCTGCTGTGTACTGAGTGTGTTGACTAACTTAGCGTCACTAAGTTAATTAGTCCAGTTAGTCATAGTTGAGGGTAGTGCTTACTCATCGGTGGGGATTAACTAACTGACCACGTAGGTAGTTCATTTGCACCCAGGGCGGCGAGAGCGGGCTCTTCCCGAGGACGGAAGGATTGTGTTAGATTGATAAATGATTGTAGCCCGCTGTGCTTAACTAGTGTTGCAGGATATCTCAACTGTGATGACACTTACCCATCACCTATACCTATTACCGAGAGTTCCCGACTTGCCAGGATGCCTCAAGTTCATCAAACAGCTCCAACGTCAACCAGTGGCTCCAGAACCGAGTCACTAGCGGAGTCCAATGAGGGCCCTTCAACAACCCGTATATCAGCAACTCTGAGACTACGTGCAGAAAGTGCAGAAGACCGTTCCATATCCAATGAGCACGTTGAAATTCGGAATCCAGCTCGGCATATACAGTGGAGAGATGACGTTATCGACAACGAAGGAATGGGAAAGAAAAGCTCCAAAGGTGAGAAAGCACCCGTCCACTCTGAAGCCAAGCCAATGCCTTCCACAACACATCGCTCATCTGTCTCAAGTCTGCTGCATATACCATAAAGCTCGACCTGTCGGTGAAAGTAGCTCAGAATCAGAATCGTCTGATTCCAGTGAGTCCGATTCCGATTCCGATCACGGCGCTGATGATCAGACTCACCGTAACGGCGGGCGGCGGTCTCGTCACCACATGAGCTGTGACCACAACAGCCCTGGACATACATCATCAGAACGGACTTCCGATACCGGAAAGATAAGACGAAGAAAATTTAGCCCCAATGCCTACGAGAAGATGCCTAAGACAAAAAGGGGTCGCTGAGCATGCTTGAAGCAAAGAATAGATTTCCGTGAAGAACTTGAAGCTCACCGTAATCAAACCCACACGCATGTGTTCGGAATGTTGCATCAAGCTTTATTCAAGCATAGTAACCCAGCCAATCCAGGTACAGCCGTGAAGATCGAATTCACATCCATAAACCAATTGATCTATACGAGCCAGCGTGGCCTAGCTTCGAAAGTGGCGCGTTGCGATCCATGCGAAAGAGAGCCCCACTCATCCCTTATGACGTTGCTCATCTCAACACATACGCCATACTCTCATACGTTTTGTTTGAAGCCTCAAGACCTAGACTCATGATGGCGCGCAATGTCTCCCATTCCATAGCTTCTCAGGCAGTTATGACCTGACATGAACCCAGTCTAACTATTGATATTATGTACATAGCATTGCTTGGTTGGTAGGGCTGCGAAACTTCTACAGCATCATACTCCTTCTCGCGGCGGCACGCAAGGATCGGCCAGCTTGCTTTGTCTCTGTTGAGACGGATGTAGTCGAAGAAATCTGAAATATTTCTGCTGAAGCGCGCCTGTCGTGATCCGGTTGCTCAAGTCTCTCGTTGACTTTGATAGGCAATACTTTGAAAAGACTCGGTGTGATATCTCGGGAATCCTGGACCGCCTCGTCTGGTTTGAGTGTGTCTTGTTCGGAGGCTTTTAGGCTCGATGAGCGCCGTTTCGATTGTCTAGCAGTAGCTGGCTGTGGCTTGTGTGCACGCGATATTGTCTTTGCGTGACAGGTGGCCTCTGTTAATCGCGTGCTGAGACCTTCGTCTGAACTATTCTTGATTGAGAGTGCAGCAGTATATTGGCCTTCCGGCTCATGTTCTTGATTCCCGAGATCGGTCAACGGATAATCAGGACACTCACAACTCCCCTCGGCTGTCTCGCGAGTCGTTGCATGGTCGTATCTGCTTGCGAGAGAGACCTTGCGCTTCCTTTGTGACACCATCTTCATACTCTTTGAGGGAGATGCCATAGCTGGATTTAAGACAGGTGACGGTGAATCAGTCCCTGTAGTACCCAAAACTTGCGACTTGACGGTGTCCGACTTGCGCCGCCGATACGCATCCCCATCTTCTCCCGTGCTCATAAGGATGTCAATTGTGCTAGAGGTTCTCCGTGTTCGATCTCCCACTGCCGCGACTAACTCGTTCGTCGGCCGGCGCATCTTATCGCGCAGATTAGGCTCTGCATAACTCACAATAGCCCTCTGGCGCCTTGTCGGTCGAGATGACCCAGTGGCACCACCTACTACTGCATCCCTCATATCCGCTCCCGACTTTGGCTGCTCAAGTCGATCAATTTGGGTCAGGGACCCCAGACTCACTGCCTCGTGTGCCATACCGACATTCCTGGCTTCTGCTTTGGAGGTATGGTGCGTCAGTGCTCGGCCGAGCGTTTCACCCTTGTTCTGCGTGTAAGATGTGGCCTCTACAAGGCCTGGCCCATTCCCCTTATCACCAATTGCTGCTATGACAGCATCTTCACGCGGGAAGTGTGCATCATCGAGCATGGAATCGAAAGCTTTTCTCGGCGAGGGAATGCTGACATTGGTGCTTTCTATACTTCGAATTAGATGTCGACCCGCACTATAAGGATTAAACATTGGCCTTACTTTGTTTCAGTATCCTCCGTCTTGCTTGCTTGACATTTTTATTGCTTTCCTCAAGTGGATGATTGTCTTCCTTAAATGGTGATCTGCCTGATGTTGGGTCAATTGGATCGACTGCCCCGAGGGGTGAACGAGTTTGCCGATATTCAAAATCGTCGTCCTCATTCAGCGGACTCTCGAATCGATCTTCAATATCTGCCGAGAACTTTCGTTTTGCACCCAGGCTCGGCCCAGATATCGGGTTCTTTCGCACAGGAGCTGCCTCGTAAGCCGCAGGATTATTCTCTGGAATCGTCGCATCAAGTTCGCGTTCCTCTTTTACATGATCCTTTGTGAGTGGAAGGAGCACATCGGCATGGTTTGGATTCATACAACTCTCGAGCGACCTGTTGATTGTGGACTCCTCGTTTGGAGGAATGGAAAAATCTGTATCCATGGTGGCCAGCGCCCGAGTTGCCGGAGACTGGTGATCAATAGCATCACTGTCGAGCACACCTTGTATTTCGTCCGGTCTGTGAGCTGTAAGCATATATACTTTGTAGAGACAACTGCATTGTATGCTTACTCCAGCGTCTTTCTTGGGAAATACTTGTCTTCGAGTATCACAGGAAGCTTTCCTTCCTCCTCACAAGCGAAATTCTGCTCCATTTCGGCGGTCTTGCGCTCCCAGTTAAGGGCTGACTGTGATGGCTGCGTCGGGCTCCTGATTTGCGCGGTATTCTGCTTTTTTCTGTAGTCGCGCGGTAGCTCACCCAGCTCAGTTACCAGATTGGTCAATTCCGTCAATTTAACATCCAGTCTGGACTTGATGTCATAGACCCCGTCCTGGAGTATCTTAACAGCCTGGTATCTTTCTAGCTCCTGATTAAGTGTTATCGCTTGCTCTCGTAGAGAAACATTTTCGGCGAGTAAATGAGAAACCTCCGACTCGAGGCTACGGATGCGGAGGGACTGTATGGAATTGACACGGGCGATTTCACGGTTCTGCCGCACGAACCGCCTCTTCACTAGTTATCTGTCAAGAGACTTGTCTTTGAGGGAGTTGCAATGTTGGAATCTGCTGTGTGGAACTTACAGCCTTCGATGGACTCCGTCGTTGTTGTTGTCGTTGATTCATTCAATCGAGCCATGCTTGTGTCCTAAACGCAGACAGCGGCAGTTGAATATCCTTCTCAAAGCTGTCGCCAAGTTTATTAGCCCTTCACGCGGGTGGATGGAGAGATTTCCGCGATGGGGCCCTTGTCGCCTACAGTAGAATGAGTTGGGCAAGATCCCTCGGAGGATGGTAACAGATAAACACGATGCGGTTTAGCATGTTGACAATTGTCCTATTTGGTACTAGTGGTGGCGGCCCCGTCCCGCCCCTCAGATGGCACTTGGCCATCCATGTCCAGTCGACGGCACTGTTCTGGATCATTGCGTACTTATTTGCCTGACACCGCACCTCTGTGACAACAACTCCACATCGCTTGAGACCATACACATGAATTGAGCTTATATTCTCACTTTACCAACTACAAGCTTTTCGCCCCCCTGTAGGGTAACCAGCGACAGCTCTCTTACTCCTGGATATCTGTTGCTTCAGCTGGCCGCGATGCCACCTTCGAGTACTTTCGCAGCAGCCTCCTTTCGTCCGCCGAATCACTCATCGGCCGTCGCTCAACAACAGTCATCGGCCTTGGCAGCGCGTATAGCTTCAAAGAAGGCCGAGCTAGAAAATCTGAGGCAACTGCGAGACATGAGCTGTGCACTGGCAGAACAGATGCAAGCCTTGGAAATCAAGATTGGAACTCTTAGAGATGGAACTGAAGGTATGTTCCCAGGCCAGTACATTCGTCTAGCTGCTGCTGAATCTCTCCGCTCTCTATTGTTAGCCGTCGCCTGTGTTCTTGCGAACTGGGACAATGTGCTGAGAGCGATTAGTATGGCCTCGGGTGAGCATTTTGCCTACTCTCCTCGTGTCTCAGTTGTGGTGGATGCATTTTGCTAATATTGCCAACCATAGTAAATCCTGTCAGCCTTGGCTTCGCAAGCAAGAGCGATCCGAACAACCCACAATTACCCGCAACCCTCGTAAGAGTACCAGCTGAGTCTCAAGATGCATCAGGGGACCGGTGATAAACGATCATTGGTAGACATGGCACAAGCCAGCTTTCCATGATTATCAGATCAAGTATGGGCTGCCGTATTCCGGTAGAGAAGGCTCATATGATGGATACGACGAAAGGTGTCTCCGTCGAGCATGGCACCTCCAGCTCAGGTGTTGCATTCTGTGACCTCGCGGTCGTTGGGTATTCTTGGGGCATGGAGCTATTGAAGCATGCGCTTTCCCACCTCGGGGCAGAGAGCTTAGGCAGTCCTAGCTGAGACTATTCTGAAATTTTTGCTCGGGGCCAAGCCCCGTATACTCTCGTCATGACGCATGGAAGAATGATGGCTTCGGGAGCCATGGGCTTTGTTCATGCTTGGTTCGGATCGTACCGTTCGCGGATTGACCTCCGAGATACTTGTCATGTTTTTTTGCCAATCGGGTACTCAAAAGGTTTGTGTGTCCGCAACAATAACAACGCAGTGGAAGCCAGAGCTTATGATTTTGTATTCTCGAGGTATCTGGTTTTCCGTCAACATTTGCCTGAAACCCTGACTAGATCTTGCCGAGAGGCTCTTCCTGCTCTGTCGCCTTCAGTGTTCTGGCCAGTGGCAATCTGAGCAAACAAGACTTTTCTAACTGTTCAACTTGTGAAATAACCGGTGTCTCGTATGGCCCGCAGGCGTGTCACATGTTAAATTGCTGCTGCACCTCTTCCCGCTCCTACTTCCGAACCTGGTGAGGTCCGGAGGTCGGCGTTCATACCTAGCCTAGGCGAAGTTCACAGTGTCGATGTATTTTGCTTACTACCACCCACTGGCCGCACGGGATCGAGTACGACCCCTTCTGTGCTGGGCTCAACTTGCCAGCTGCCAATATCATGTGCTGCCTTGTGCCCTACTTGCTGGATATGTATCTGATCGTTGTGGGTCAGCGGCAAATGTTGACAGTGGGATATGCGAATCCTTCGAGCTGGGTGATGGGGTATTCCACAGTGGTAAATTCCTTCGGTGCTTCTGGACTGGAGAAGCAGACCCAATTCATGCTCATTCCCGAGATGGAAGATCACCGGCATGGAAAAAGAATCATGAATAAGCGCAATATATATGACCAACCAGGGAATGGGTATATATCAAAGGGGCTGTGGTTTAGTGGTATAATATTCCCTTAGCATGGGAGAGGTCCGGGGTTCGATTCCCCGCAGCTCCAACTTTTTATTACCTCATCCAAAGGGATACTCCTATTTATAGTGTATCCGGGCCACGGATGATTCTTTCTCCAATACACCCGTCCAGCGACCTCACTAAGCATGAGAGTAACATAACCGTAGTATATAGAAGTCCAGGCATCAGGAAAAATAGTCGTCCAGTAATTCGCGAACCATGCCACCGCTATGAACACAGAGTCCATAGTCATTACGGAAGGATTCAAAGGGGGTACTGTACAGCAAGCAGGCTTTTTCATCGGCCGAATTAGACACTGCGTTGCACAGCAGCCCAAGCCCTCCTCCAACGCTGGGCGGAGCCATGGAAGGGATGATTGATAGTGACACCGGTGGTCTTTCCCATACGGCCGGCCTGGTAATGGAAATACATGTATCTTTGTCAAAACACTTCTTATATTAGGAGTCATTGGAGTCCTTCTGGGCTGAAGGTATTGTTATTGATTAGGATTCTACATCAGTGGGTCTTGTTTTTTTATCTTTCTATTGGAGTTTACATGGTCGATATTAATGCCAGATTCCCTCAGTATTTATTTTGAATATAATAGCTAATGGTTATTTAGGCCGGGCTACACAAACATGTAACATGGGTGTATGCTACCTAGACATCTTCGGTACTGATAAACCAAAATAATCAGATTTGCTATAGAGGTGTATGTACAGTGGTAAAAATTTCATAGGCGTCTCTAGAACTTGGTAGTTAACTAGTTGCGCTGAGCAAATCGAAAAAAGTGGAGCTGCGGGGAATCGAACCCCGGACCTCTCCCATGCTAAGGGAATATTATACCACTAAACCACAGCCCCTTCTATAATCAATCCTTTTTTATTTGACACTATCTCACAAAAGGTACTCAAAATGAGATACACCCCCCCCTTTCGCGGTACAAACAGGGGCTTTGACTTCCGCGAACAGCGTGGGCTTGGAGAGAAACGACAAATCTAAGAAGTAGCCTCTCCATTATCAACGCGCTTCCTCTACAGGCTTCATAGCCAACAGGCGGTCGAGGCAAGTGAGAAACCCGAGGCTCAAATCAATAGCATACCATGCTTTTCATCATACCTGGGCTCGATTTGCCTAGGACTGCACATGAATGCCTAAATATGCACACACGGGATAATGCAAGGTTCATTTGAATGGGCAAGACAGCTGTCTTTTATTGGGCGCATGCTATAGAGCATTAGATGGCAATTAGAAATCCATGCTGGGTAATGTTTTTTTCTGAGAAGACCCGAGTCGATCAAATGCCGGCAACCAGGCATGGTCTCGATCAACGAGCCAACGATGCTGCAAGTGCTGCCCTGTTTTTCGGCACAAATCTAACCCTGTACCTTTTGGGTATCGCCACAAGGCTAGTGGGGTCCGAGTTGCCTCTCACAGGATGCCAGTCGACATCATCAACCGGCTCGATTCTGAAGCTATTCAAGGTGCGCATGAAAACCAGATATAGCTCCCGATTCGCAAGGAGAGAGCCCGCACACATACGGTAGCCCATACCATATGTGAAAATTGGGGCATCTGGTTGCTCCAACCACCGCTCGGGTCGAAAGTTCTCGGGGTCTTTCCAGACTTCGGGGTCTAATTGAAGTTCCATGAAATTAGCCTCTGCCACAATGCAAACTTAGTTATGCGCAGCCACTGACCCATGTTGCAAGCCCAGGAGTTCAAGAAGAAGACGGTGCCCTTTGGAATGACTGTTTTCTTATAAGTTATGTCCCGGATGGATGTTCGAGGAAGTGCAAGCCGGAGGACGGTGAAGTATCTGCATGCAAAAATGATAGTCAGGAGTGTGTATGTCGAGGCCAAGGATGTCCTGTAAATTACCTTAGGCATTCCCTCACAAGAGCAGCGACATAAGCGCATTTCTGATCGTCTCTCGAATCACAAAGCGGCATGTCCTGATCATACAGTTCCCGAATGGCTTTCGCGGCCTTGTCCTGGATATCCGGTCGTTGCGAAAGGAGGCAAAGACTCCATGCCACCAACGTGGTTATAGTATCGAGACCCCCTGATAGCATTGTTAAGCTGATTGAGATGAGCTCATCTGCATCGAGCTTTGCTTCCTTATCAAGGATGACATTCGCCTGTATACAAGAATTGTGTATACCTTTCCTCATTCGCTCTTCCAGGTCCCGGTTCAATGCGTTGAGATACCTGTCTCGGCGATCTCTCATTCCCTTAGCCTTTCTAGAGTTCCCACTGAAAGGATTCAGCCGCAGAAGAGGGATGTAGTCCTGTAAGTTACCCGTCGTGCTCCTTAACTTGCTGATTTCCTCCTCAACATGAGTGATTTCATCGAACAAGTCTTCCTCCTGGGATGCCACGCGCACTCCCCAGTTAAGGGTCAAGGATAGGCTCAGACTCAATCGTTGAATCATTGCCATGGGATCTACTGGTGTGTTCCCACTGTTTCCGTAACGGTTGAGCTCTTCGATGAAGGCTTTGGATTCCACGTCCAAGTGAGAGACGTAGGATTCCACAGAAGGACGATTTAGCGCCGAGGCTGCACCTTTGCGGCGTCTTTTCAATGACTCGCTATAAGGAGAAGTGCCGATAGTTGTGCCTGCTGTATCCGAGACGATCTATACTAACATGTTAAGCCTGTCCAGTGCAGGAGAGCTAACGAAAACCAGAGAGGGCTGGAGAAGGGGAAGCAGACGGACCCACCTTGTGAAAGGTATAGAACTCTGGTCTTGAGCTCAAGGCCTGTGCATTTTGTCCGAAAATGGTTTTCGCAGCCGCGGCTGAGTTTACCACAACCACGGGAATGTTTCCCAGCTGAATCTGATAGACCGGTCCATATGTTCTAGACCAGATGCGATATTGCTCTGAGGCGTTCTTCCGGATCTGAGCGAGGTTTCCGATAAGTGGTAAGCCACGGGGACCCTTGAGTCCAGGCACTCTTGCAGACGCTCGAGTGAGCTCGTTCAGGATGATAGGGATCGTGAGGATCAACACTGTCAGCGCCCGCAAAGGCGACTGGATAATGCTGTCCAGAATTGATAATAGGGCTGCTGCAATAGCCATGACGATCAAATAGTGATGTAATCAATCCTCACTGTCGGAATGGTAGAAGGGATGATGATTCGACTCAGCTGATGGATTTCGGATCTATTATAACATAGCTGCGCATTGATGGTATTCCACGTGATACTTCCTGCAGTCCCGTCCTTTTCTTCTGGCGAGGAATGTTTCCGTTGTACAGGCTTGCCTACAAAGAAACCAAGGCCAAATCCCTGTGCCAGAGGCTATGGAAGATTTACCCCAGACCGAGAAAAGCCGGGGTAGATCAGCCTAGGGAACTAACAATCGGGTGGCCCAGATTCCGCACTCGGAAAATTTCCGCCCATCCCCAGTGCACATCACTTCGATTTTGCGGGGTTGGGACTTTCTTGCAGTATCGGCAGCTGTCAGTCTGCCACAGACTTTGGCCAAGGCAGACGAGTGACACATAGCACGCGTAGTGAATGGAGGTAACGAGATGGGGAGGTGTAGTCTGCCCGGCTGATCGGCATACGATTCCGAATGAATGAGTGTTAATCCATGATATTATGAGTAGAACGACTCCCGATGTCCATAACATGTGCATGATGAGCCAGCATAATTGCATTCTTCAGATGGGAAAGCACCCCCTCCCCTAATCGATCATTGTCACAGATACATGTCCACCTGACTGAGAATGCGAATACACATCTAGGCTGGCCGTAGCCGGACCTCAAGATTCGGAACCTTGCCGCGCGAGTTACAGAAGGTCATTAATAGATTGGTAACAAGAATTCAGCCCGCACAGTAACCATAAAATTCTGGACTACCGAGGACTTTGCTCTTAGCGAAGCTTGTACCCCTGGTTGAATACTTATACGTAGAATATTCCTACGTACATCATCTCTGTGATAGGAAGGCTGCCGATTGGAGGATTTCCACATATCGGTTGGACCCGGTCGCCAGGTACAAAGCCGAATGCCTTACGGCCCAAGCCTCAGAGTCCTGTTTGCGTTGCTTGCGGTGTCTTAATAATCTGAACGTGAAGATTTCGTCCTTCACGTTCGGCAGGTAGCGAGCTTATTGTTTACTGAAATCGGCTGTGCAGGAGGTCTAGGTGGGTAGGTAGGGCTGAAATACCTCCAAGTAACATTCCCGAGGTGACTTACCGAGTGGGTAGCAGGGGGTTCTCCGAAAAAGGTGAGTTGTTCTTAATGGTTGGCCGAACTTCATCTTCAAAAGACAGAGCAGCATTCAAGCAAGATTTGTGGAGGAGAGACTGACGTCAAAAGTTAAACACCAGCGACCCAGGAACCGACCGTTCACTTGAGAGTGGGGTATTACGCCATTCCGTTCTGTCTACCCTGGAGGCCCCAACAATACGGAGTACTGTACCTTTACCCACCTTCCAGGGTCTGGGTTGGACAAGTGGAGCACAGAGACATCATCAACCAGAGTAGCATCAGACTAAACGCACCAAGAGTTTTTGAATCTTCCGACTGAGATTTGGGGTGCTCGGTTTTTCTTTTCTTTCTTTTTTCTTTTTTCTTTTCTTCCTTTTTTGTTCTTTCTTTTGTTCTTTCTTTTGTTCTTTTTTTTTGTTCTTTTTTTGGTAGCTAGGACCAGAAAGCGGACGGCAGGGACACCGTAGCAATGGATAGATAGCGTATGACAAGCATGGTGGCGATCTGCTGCATGATAATTAGTAGCCATAACGATGATGGTCGGAGTACTATACTCAGGAAGTATGCACACAGTAGTACGGAGTACTCCGTATATATGTGAGTAGTTAGTCGGGAAAATCATACACCTTATAGTCCTGCCCGATGGGAAGAGCCTCGCTATAAATAAATCCCTATCGATAGGGGGCTTAGCAGTTAGACTACCTACTCATCAGACATACATACCTAGTACTAAACTCATTACTCCGTACGCATACATGTAAATTTATTGAGAGACTAGACTAATTAATCAATGATTCTCCATAGTCGTCTTCGGCAATGCTTTGGACCGGGCTGGGCCCCTCCCGGAGAAGGGAGTCCTTCAGACTAATGTCTAAGGTATCTATCTATCTATTGAGGGAAGCTTGGACGAGGGAAGGGGAAAGGGGGGGGTGGGGGGAGGAAGAACGGATTGGGGAAAAGATTGGAGATGTTCCGAACTAGCGGGAAATCTTTGCTGGTCACATGCGGGCACGGTGTCCAGCTTCGATAGCCAAATCATCGCCCAGACTCATCCACTGCCGGAGCTGCCGAGGTATTGATTGGTGGGACAATACTGATTGACGCCGCGACGCCGTCATCGTGACCCGCCCCCATTCTCCCTCCAATTCCCTTCCCGGATTCTGTCTGTCGCAAAAGAGGCAGAGCTCATGACGCACTGCTGCTACCAACCTACCTACTAACCTACTCCAGCTATTACTGCTTTCTGGTCGGAGAAAAAAAAAGGATTAGGTGGACAGACCGGAAGGTTAGCCGGCTATTGAGAGCTGATCATTCACACTGACACGGGTACACTTTCAAGTACAGAGTACCGTAGTGCGCCCTATCCTTCATTCCTCCCTCTCCAACATAATTGCTATAGTACTAAAGTGGACCAGTGGCCCGGCATTCGCATTGTTCTCAAACATTTTTCTGTATCATTCTCTTCCTCCTCTTCATCCTGTCTCTCCTCTTCCTTTTCTCCTCCTCTTCCCATCCCTCTCGTCTTCCTTTCCCTCCCAAACCAAACCCCTCCTTCTCCCCTTCCTCTCCTCCCAGATTCTCCCGTACCCTCCACATACACAATTGACTCGCAACTTTCCGCCTCTTGAACCTCTTCCACGAATCTTGCCCTCGAATTCTAGGTAAGTTATCATCAATTCAATGGCTTGGTTGGAATTACCAGCATGCTCCGTTTTCTCTCTCTCTCTCTCTCTCTTTCTCTCTTGAGTCTGACCGGCAAAGAGCCATTGGATAATATAGCATCTCTCTATATATATCTTATATTTACCAACAGCCATCCGCCCATTCTCCTCCCAATCAGCCGTTTAAATCCAGCACTGTCCTCAATAATAGAGCGTCAACGAGGACCTCTATAAAATTCCAAGTGCCTAGTGTCTCATTTCACATACCATGGCCTCCCGTCATTCGCGTAAATTCCTGCGACCGCTGCTCTATACGTCACTCGCCACGGCTGCGGGTGCTGGAGTGCTCTACATTTCTTACCGCCCTCGCAATATCCCTGGTTCCGAGGCCCCTGCTGTCCCGCCCCCGGGTTATCACGAAGGCCGCCTGGTGCCGCCTAGTTTTCCCCGCATCAAATCTAGATTGGAGCAGATTGAGGATCTCAAGCGTTCTGCAAAGGGAGATGCATCAGAGGAATATGATCTGCTCGTCATTGGCGGTGGCGCCACTGGCTCAGGAATCGCTCTTGATGCTGCGACTCGAGGATTGAAGGTCGCCATCGTCGAACGCGATGATTTCAGCTCTGGAACCAGCAGCAAGAGTACAAAACTTGTACATGGTGGTGTGCGATACCTGGAAAAGGCAGTATGGGAATTGGATTATAACCAGTCAGTCGACCCAAACTACTTCCCTGCTTCCGATGAGAGATCTGACAGGTCCTTATTTTAGGTACGCGCTCGTGAGGGAAGCCTTGCGGGAGCGGAAGTACTTCCTGAACACTGCCCCTCATCTTTCCAGCTGGCTTCCGATCATGGTTCCGGTGCAGAAGTGGTGGCAAGCACCCTATTTCTGGGCAGGCACTAAATTTTACGACTTTCTGGCTGGCTCAGAAGGTATTGAGAGCTCCTACTTCCTGACCAAGAGTAAAGCCATCGATGCTTTTCCGATGCTTAGAAAGGATAACCTGATTGGCGCTATGGTCTACTACGGTATGTATCCTCCGTCACGAGGCTAGCAGACGCTCCGCATCTCAGTATAAGGTCTAATGATTTACGTGGGTAGATGGTGCTCACAATGACTCGAGAATGAACGTTTCCCTTGCAATGACAGCTGCATTGTACGGCGCCACTGTCGTCAATCACATGCAGGTTACCGGCTTGACCAAAGACTCATCTGGCAAGTTAACCGGGGCCCGCCTCAAGGACGTAATCCAGGGCAGAAATGGCCAGGAGGAGGAAGAAATCACCATCAAAGCGAAGGGTATCATCAATGCGACCGGGCCCTTTACTGACTCAATCAGAAAGATGGACGAGCCTGATGTGAAGGAAATTGTGGCACCGAGCTCGGGTGTCCATGTCATTCTACCCGGTTACTATAGTCCGTCAGACATGGGGCTGATTGATCCGTCGACATCCGACGGCCGAGTTATCTTCTTCCTGCCTTGGCAGGGAAACACAATTGCTGGCACCACAGATCAACCCACTGAAATCACTACCCAGCCAGAGCCCTCCGAGAAAGACATCAACTGGATCCTCACGGAAGTTCGTCGGTACTTGGCCCCTGACATTAACGTTGAGCGAAGTGATGTGCTCGCCGCCTGGTCCGGCATCCGTCCTTTAGTACGCGATCCTAAGGTCAAGAGTTCCGAGGCTTTGGTTCGTAACCACCTCATCTCAGTCTCCCCATCTGGGTTGTTGACTTGCGCCGGTGGCAAATGGACCACCTATCGGCAAATGGCCGAAGAGGCAGTTGATGAGGCCGTCAACGTCTTTGGCCTGAAGCCCCGAGAAGTATCCAACGCTCCCGATATTAGCGGTGTTGGTGGAAGCGGGCTAGTCGCTGACGGCGCTGTTCTTGATGGCTCTTGTCAGACCCATCAGGTCCGTTTGATTGGTGCCCATGGCTATTCAAAGACCCTTTTCATTAACCTCATCCAACATTATGGGCTCGAGACGGATGTGGCGCAGCATTTAACACAATCATACGGTGATCGAGCTTGGCAGGTTGCGGCTTTGTCTTCGCCGACTAATGCTCGTTTCCCCGTTCGAGGCCAGCGCATCTCGACCCTCTATCCTTTTATCGATGGCGAGGTTCGTTATGCTGTTCGCCACGAGTACGCGCAAACTGCTGTTGATGTTCTCGCACGCCGAACCCGCCTAGCATTCCTCAATGCCGAAGCAGCGCTTGAAGCCCTTCCTAGTGTCATTGATCTGATGGGAGAAGAGTTGAACTGGGACAGTGGCCGGAAGGACGTGGAGTGGAAGGAGAGTGTCCGCTTCTTGTCCTCGATGGGCCTCCCCAAGACCTTCCTCAGTTTGAGTAGAGCGGACGTTGAAGCCGGCAAGGTCAAACAGGTCGATATTGCGCAACGAGCAGCGTTTGCTAGGACAGGTAAGTGACCGAAAACACTGATAATGGCGAGACTGGGGCTAATGTGTTCTTTCTGTGCAGATCCACCAGCGGATGTGCTTGCCAACGACACCCGTTCATCTGACTCCAACAAACTGATCCAACCTGATTCCCCGGCCAACAAATAGAGCAGTCACGCGCCATAGAGCTATTTTGTATAAATAATTGGAAGTGTATACTTGGCACGTCATGTCATCTGGAATCCGACAATGTCGTCTAGATTGTCCCTTCTGGAAAAATTTCAAGCCCTGGGTTTGTGTGTTGTTTAGACTTACCAGCATATGGAGGTGGGTTTTCCTTTATGGTGTAGATGGCATGTAGGTGTTGGACCTTCATCTAATGTGTAACGAATATTCATTCTCTCTGCTCATGGCGAGGATGCAACAATGTGCAATGCCCGCGACGAAATGGAAGGGAGCAAGAAGACAATCAACTTCAGGACAGATCAATCGTCGCCTGTACGTCGTGCACTGGCATCATGTCGCCTGCACCTACAGCCTAGTGACGTCTGCTTACCCTTTGCCGATGAGCTTGTCCACTGCTTGAAGGGTGGAAAATCGGGCTGGCTTGCAGAAATGGTCTTTGAGGGCACAACGTGCTCTCTGGAAAGCCAATTGAATGCCGCAGGCCTGGCCTCTGTTGCTGTTACCTTTTTCATGTTAACCGTAAGCCGTCGAAGCAGGGAGGGGCCTTGTGTGGTACCGAATTTATTCTTCCCCGCCTTCCGATGCGAAGATGTGGGCGGAGGAATGCATTCGTACCATGTTTATGGATTGTAGCCTCCATAATGACACCATGGGCACATACTGCAGTAATTTTGGTCTCGCTTGAGATGAAACATAAGGGACATCCGTGCATCACTCGTATGTATTCCGCGATTTGTGCATATAGCTTTCCCATACGGACCAGTGATCTGGAGAATGATACGATCGAGCCTAAAGTATAACAGACTTCTCAGATAATCAGTCCTCCGTGTCCCCTGCCTGTGACCAAGAATATATTGAAATATGCAGAGCATAACTCTGGTTTATATGACACCAAGTATGTAGCGTAATAAAGTACAGCAAGAGCGGTACCAGCCATAATTAGAAAATACATCGATTGTCCTGAGATAATCGGGAAAGGGAAAGGGGAAGAAGAGAACATGATTATTATGTCAAAACAGGCGCATAAAAATGTATAAATCGATGTCATGTTTCAAGGTGTGCGCAGCACACTATAAAGAAAAAAGGGAACCCCACAACCCGCGGGGCCGCGCGACAAGGGAGAAGTAAGACCCGAAGATTTCTAATTGATGATCGAGAACACGGAGCGATGGATTTCGAGCGCCCGGAGGTGAGAAAGAGCATATCCGAGCACCCGAAACAAGTCTCCGCGACCAAGGTCATACATGCAGGTAGAGAAGGAGGCGCTCGGTTTGGGTGCAAGGCAGACCAGCTATACCCGAGAACCGGCTTGCCCGCACTCATGTTGGTTGGAGACTCCGCTCAATAAATGTGAGTGAATGTCGGGTAACGCGAACTCGGCGTCCGCCGGGGTGGCTTCGAGAAGTCACCATCCGTCCCCTCGCTTCGTTTTCATGTTCGCTCGAGGGTCAAGGGACAATAACACCGGATAGAGGGCTCTCCCGTAGGCCATTTGGCTGGTTTCCCATCGAGTTCTTTTTCTTCAAATTTCCTTCACTGACCACTGGAGTCTCATTGCCGGAGGGCCGTGGGTGAAGTAACAACCCTCGAAGTCCTATTCGGATGTTCGAGACCTGGGCTTGTTTGAGGTCCTCTTGTCCAAAAGCGTCCGATTCTGAATGTATCGATCATGCCACCCTTAATTGGGCGGGGAGAATCGATTGCGATGCATCCTCGGTAAGAATACGGTTGCAGCCGGTAAGAGACCAAAGTCAAAAGAGAACACAATGCGCAACACATTTATGTCTTGCTCTCTGCCGCGTTTGGGTCGCCCTTATAATGATCCCAGAACCGTGCGACGGTCCGTTGTGCGACGTTGTTGCCCTTGTACCGATATATGAAGTAGTTGAATAGGGCAAACTCGTCGCGATCGAGTACATAATCCTTCTGCGTGTTTATCTTGTCCCATAAGCTTGCAATGGCTGCCTCCAGGGTATCATTCGTTGCCTTATCGGTATGACCGTCCCGGCCACGCTCCAGGGCCTGCCGCACCTCAGAAGACGACGCTGAAACCGCCATTGGCAACTGAGGAGAGAAATGCTCCTATTTCAAGACAGTTGTTCGGCTCGAAAACACTGGGAGAAGGGAGAATAAAGATAGCGAAAGTGGATGTGAGTGGTGCAGGCTCGGAGCATGAGCGGCGCGCAAATTGAATTTGGAGGGAGACAGGGAATAGAAATAAGTTCTTGGGCCCTTGAACGACAGAGAAGGAAAATTTTTTTCTGGACGGACACGACTGTCTTTGGCAAGCTCCGACCCTCTCAATTTAACAAAGCAGGTGGAGCAGGGGGGGTGTGGGAGGGAG